GGAGTCACTAGCAGAGAGCCAGGCAGAGGGCTTCAGGCTGCCTGAGGACACCACTGGTTGTCATGCCACCTCACCGGTCAGCTGGCATTCGGGGTGGCCTCTACCTGCTACCAGGACCAGAGCAGGGGCAGGGGGAGCTGAGGCAGCTGCGGCTCTGAGCCTGCATGGGACAGACTGGTGGTTCATTCACCTGCATCCAAAGAAAGACCTCCCCGCCTTGCACCAAGACTTGTCCTGGGTTTGGGGACACAAGTGCCCAATCAGCCTAGTCCATGCCCAAGACACCAGCATCCATCCGAGGTGGAGGGACCTTTTCAGTTCTGCAGTCTACAAGCTGGGGACACTGGGCCAGCACTCCACCTGTCTGTGCCCAGCTCATGGTGCACCTCACAGAGCTGGGTCCCGCTCTCGACCTCATATGCACTGAGATATCTAGGCCCCGAGAGGGTGAGGGGCAGGCCAGGTCACACTGTGAGGCGGGCATCCCCAGATGGGAGCCCGGCTGCTGAGTCCCTCCTGGGGTGCTGATGCTCACTGGCACTGGTGATGCCCGGGGCTGACTCCACTGCCTCCCCACTGCTGTCCAGGTGGGCCGATGGGAGCCTCAATTGCCAGGCTGCTTCCTGCTGCCCCCTGGAAAAATGATCTGTGCCCCTGGTATTCTTAGGCTGCCCAGTGGGTAGGCACCACACCGCAAGGTTCTTCCCTGGGTGGTCGAGGGCAGGGTGAGGGGCGTATGCTATGCAGCCGACGCCGTCTCAGGGTTGTGGCTGGGGCCAGTGTGATGTGCTCCCACTTCCCCTGTGCCAGCACCTCCCCTCCTGCAACCCTGAAATAAGTGCCTCTGAGGTCATCTCATGCCTGGCCCCCCACTTGACAGCTATAACCCTGGGCTCAGAGAGGAGGGGGCTCTGTCCATTTCCATCCCTCCCCCACAGACTCGGCCACCCTGTTGGCACGTTGTTCTTTATGGAACAAAATCCACAGCCTTCTGCCTGGCGTGGGGAACCACCAAAGAGCCGGATCCTGCACCTGGGAACATGCCTTATGGTAGCATTTCTCAAGGAACAGCCCAGGGAGTACTTGTTCTTAGGATGCTAATAAGTGTCCTGAGGAGGGAGGGTGGGCACACAGCTTTAAAAGGCAGTAGGCAGGCTGCTTTGCTGCGGGACTTCTCAGAGCCTTCAGAGCTCGTCTGCATTGAGAATCCCGAGGCAGGCAGCAGCTCCCAGACTTAAGAAGGAAGAGCAGGGGCTTCGAAACGTTGACCCTGGGTTCTGGGCCCAACTCAGTCTCTGAGCCTCAGTTGCTCCGTCGGTAAAGTGGGTACAGTTTTGCCCCTTGGAGGTAAGAAGGTTAACTAGGTAGTGCACGGAGGGCTCCCAGCACAAGGGCTCCATGTTCGGCTCCCACAGGATTCAGCCCCCAGCTGCCTTCAGGGCACCTCGCTCCTCTTTCCCTGGGCCTCTGTCAGTGTCCTCTCTGTGCCAGATGCACGTCAGTCTGGGAGACAGCAGGACAGGTGCCTGCCCAGCCCTGTGTGCACCCCCAGTTCTGTTTATGCCGTGTGAGGCCACAGGCCTTTCTCAGTGGCTGTGACTGTCTGCTCACCCGGAGCTTGTGGTCACCCATAAACCTCATATCTAGCTTGCTTTCTGGGCCTGCACCAGAACAGGGCTCGACTTTTCTAGGTCTCATGTATTTGTCTGGCTGCAGTATCTGCACTGGCCTCAGGCCATTAGCGCACACTCATCCGCTGAATTGGTCACCCAGTACATCTGCCTCCCTCCAATGTCTCCCTGCTTCTTTCCTGGAGGACGGTGAGAGAAGGGAGGGCCTTTGTGGGGGCAGTGAAGCTGCCCCCAGCCCTAAGTTGGGGCGCAGAGTGGGCCAGCTGCAGGGTGGGCCTCAGCAGACCCTCGGGGCTTCCCGCCCTGCAGAACCACGCAGGAGCTGCCGCCACGCACACCTGTAGTCCAGGGGAGGCTTGTTCTTTCATCTGATCCCTCCAGGACCCCTCCTTCTCCACGGTATCTTTAAAATGAGATAATGTGTTGGAAATACTTAGCAAAGTGCCCAAGACTCATCTGTTAATTCAACAAATATTTCGTGAGTGTCCATCATGTGCCAGGTACTGGATGGGTCACTGGGGCTGGAGGAGGTAGACCTGTCCCCAGCCCTTGGGTGGTCTGGAGGGGGAGACAGACACTAAAACTGCATCTTGAAGTGAAGGTGCAGTGGAGGTGGGTGCCAGGAGGGGCAAAGTCCTGGTGCTGCGGGATGTCCAGTAGAAGAGAGCACCCCAGAGGCATGATGGAGGGTCGGGGGCTTGAGGGGAGGCAGGAGGTGCCTGGGAAAGGTGAGAGGGAAGCTGTTCCAGGCCGAGCACACAGCACTGCAAAGGCCCTGTGGCAGGAAGAATCAGGGTCCAGAGAGAAAGCCAGAGGCTCAGAGCCAGGCAGTGAGGCCAGAGAGGCGGGTGGGCCAGGCTGAGAGGCCCGTGGACAGTGACGATGCACCCAACTGCCTTAAAGTGGGGACATGGCAGCATCAGATCTGCATTTCACTGACAGATTGACTGAGCTGCGAGGCTGAAGGTGGGTGAGGGGGCTGCAGAGTGCGTGGGGCACCCCTCAGGAGACCTGGCCAGGGACACTGGTGCAGAGGGCTCCCCGCCTGCAGCCTGTGTGTGGATGGAGGCATCCCTGTCTGTCCTCACCGGTGCTGACCCTGGGTTCTGACTGTGATTCAGCCCTGTTACTGGGCTCTGTGCCCCCTTGACAACGTGTGTTTCGTCCATTCCTGTTTGGATAGTATTTTCCTTGATGGAATTGCTAGAAGCAGCTCCTGGCATCCCTGCCCTCCAGGAACCTGTCCCCTATCCCCAGCCACTGGCTGGCCTCTTTTCCTCCTGAAGGGGCATCTAACAGCGGCTTTCCCCTACCGTGCCAAGCACTTGGTGCACCTCCCACCTTTGGGGGTGACCCCTCCTCCTGGGGCTGAGTGGGGGGCCTCTGAGAGATGTGCCCCTTGGCCCCACGGCATCAGTCCCAGGCAGATGGGACAGCAGGGTGGTGCAGAGACTCTGGGACCTGCGCCTGCCCCTGCCTCGCCCAGGCTCTGCCCAGGTCTCCTGCCTCATGGGAGGGTCACTTCTGAGATGCTGGTCCTGGTGTCCCAGGGCAGAGGGTGCTGGCCCAGCCCAGGCAGAATGGGCAGACCAGGGCCCTGAGGTGGGCCAGGGTGTGAGCTGGGGAAGCAGATCCCAGAGCGGCTCTCAGGACCAGGTTCCCCAGTGCTGGGTTGGGGAAGCACATGTGCCCATGTGGACACAGTCCACATGGGTGCACGCGTGCTGTTCCTGCATGTGAACGCACGTGCACATCTTGCTGGGGGCACTGCAGGTGTCCCACTGCCAGGGGACAGCCTGACCCCCCATCCCTTGGGCAGGTGGCCGGCCTGTTCCATGACCCCAGCATTGGGAACCCCATCCACATCACGGTCGTGCGCCTGGTCCTGCTGGAAGAGGAAGAGGTGAGAGGTCACATGCCCACACTCCCCCAGGGGGCATTGGCTGCCAGAGCCCCCACCCCACTACCTGAGCTCCCCCGGGGGGGAGGGTGCAGCAAGGGGCATTGTTGGCCCTGGCAGTACTGACTGTCACCCAGTACCTGGCTGACTGCTTCTGAGATCCCCCAGGAGGTGCCTGGGGGGCAGTCAGACCAGAGGCTGTGCCAGCCCACAGGCTGGCTGCCTGCCCCCCACTGCCCCTCTGGCCTCTGCTCCTGCCTTCGTGTGAACGAGAATTCGCCTGACCCTTTGGTGCTCAGGACAAACGCGGGGCTGCCCTCTCTCCCCCAGGAGGACCTGAAGATCACGCACCATGCAGACAACACCCTGCGGAGCTTCTGCAAATGGCAGAAAAGTGTCAACATGAAGGGGGATGCCCACCCACTGCACCACGACACAGCCATCCTGCTCACCAGGTGTGCCCCTGGGAGGGCACAGCCGTGGAGCCCGCTCTAGGGGGCAGTGCTGCCTGGCCCTCAGGGAGCTCGCTGTGGAGAGGCTGCGCCCCTCGCCCTGAGACTGGCTCCCATCAGCACTTGGGGAGACCTTCTGCTGTTGGAATTCCTGTGGGCTATTCAGTTGTCAGAAATAATGCCCTTCGTGGGGTCTCCCCAGCGGAAACATCCACATAGCTATGAGCAGGATTCCCACCGTGGCATCAGCACCGCGCGGTCCAGACCCACTCGGCTCCTACTGGCCTCCCGCACTGGTGTGTGAGTGCACGCAGTCAGGCGCACACACTCCCATCCCTCGTGTGCGCCCCTGCATCCACTACCGCAGTCCAGACACACGACAGTCCCCGGGGAGGCTCCGGCCTCTTAGCCAGAGCCCCCCGCTCCCTCGTGCCGCCTGCTCTTTTTGAGCTCCAGGGGCATTCTTTTCCCCTGCTGGGCTTGGGTGGCTTCTGGCAGCACCCTCACAGAGATGGCAGTCAAAATTGTGCCAGCCCTGCTCGCCAGGCCCAAGGAGGTGTCCTTGGTGAGCATGGGCCTGATGTCCTGGACTGATGGCCATCCTCTGGCTCCCCAGGGTCGGCCTGCCCTTCCCTGGCCCTCTCGGCGCTCAGCTCGGGGGCCTGGTGCTGGACCAGACCAGTCTGAGGGCATTTCTCTGTGTGCAGGAAGGACCTGTGTGCAGCCATGAACCGTCCCTGTGAGACCCTGGGCCTGTCCCACGTGGCGGGCATGTGTCAGCCGCACCGCAGCTGCAGCATCAGCGAGGACACCGGCCTGCCCCTGGCCTTCACCGTGGCCCACGAGCTCGGGCACAGGTATCCGCCTCCTCCCACGCACTGAGAACCCACCTGGGGCTCCAGGCAGCCAGGCCCCTGGGCCACAAAGGGAGGGCAGCCTGACTTGGCCGTGTGCTGTCCCCACCCCACAACCCCAGCTCCTTCCTTGTTAAACAGGAGAGGCCCATCTGGCTACCTCTGAGCTGGCCGGGAGAGAGTCCTGTTTTAAGTGGGGTTGAGATGGGCCAGAAAGTTGCCCTGGGTCTCAGGCTTTCCTTCCTGGTTGCTCTGTTTGTATTTTTGATGCTCGGTCCCTGCCATACCTCTATTCCTAATATGCTGTGACCCTACGCAAGTGCCCTGCTCTCTCTGGGCCTCTGTGTGCGCCCTGTTGATTGGAGGGGGGGTTGGATTCTGTGAGCCGGAGGCTGCCTCCATCTGCTGCCTCTGGGTGAGACTCTCTGAGCACAGCTGCCACCCTCTAGCACATGCACCCGGGCATCAGCTGGTGACCCAGGAAGCACCCTCCCTGCCCGGGAGCTGAGGAGGGCAGCTCACAGTCCTGTCAGGCATGGCTCAGGTGCTCTGGGCCCCCTGTGTGGGCCCATGGTGGTAGGAAGCCCTGCCCACCTTGGCCACATCTGCTGGGCTTTCTTGGCCAGCTTTCAGCCCCCCAAGCCTCTCCAGGGGCATGGGGGCTGGCGAGGTAGTGGTCCTGGAGCTGCTCAGCATGATTCCTGGCACATAATAAGTGCTCAGAAAATGGGATTTTTCCCGTATGCCCTGAGGATGGTCTCTTGAGAACTTTTCTGATACAACGGCTTAGACTTCCTTGAATGGGGCTTGGCCTTGAGGACCTTTGCTCCACAGTTTTCGATGCCAGCAAGGTTGCGGAGGCCACAGTGGCTGTCTGTGCCACCTGGCTGGCCACTGTTGGCTGGCTGAAGGCAGAAGCCAAGCTGGTCCAGGTCCCTGTGCTCATTTCAGGCTTGGGCGCCTGAGGAGGGCCCCCTGAATACTGGCTGGCATACCCACATTATAGATAAAGGGAACCGAGGCTTCGTGAGGGGTGACTTCCCCAGGGCCATGCGGCCTGGTGGCTGAGCACCCTGGGAGCCAGGACTTGGCTGCCTGGAGTGGGCGGCTGGCTGCCCCGCGGCTCACCCGCCCCTGGGGCCTGTGCTCTCACACAGTTTTGGCGTTCAGCATGACGGAAGCGGCAATGACTGCGAGCCGATTGGGAAACGGCCTTTCATCATGTCTCCACAGCTCCTGTACGACGCCGCCCCCCTCACCTGGTCCCGCTGCAGCCGCCAGTACATCACCAGGTTCCTAGAGTAAGCCTCTCCCAGGTGCTGGGGGCCTGCCTGTGAGCTCGGGGCCCCAGGGGCGCAGACAGTGGCATTTCAATGCTGTGGTTAAGGGATGCGCAGAGGGGACTGCGTGGAGATGGGGCTGGGTTCCCAAAGTCCTCCTGGGGGGCCACTGGCTGCGTGGGGGAGCATCGTGGATGTAAGGAAGGAGAAGTGGGGCGCTCTGCTTGGAGGGGGCCGGGCAAAGGCCTGAGGGCTGGTCGCCTGGGAGCTGGTGCCACAGCAGGGCCCGACGTGTATTTATGCACAAACCAGTTCGCAGACAGAGGAGAGGAGCTCTGGGTCTCCTGCCGTCTCTTTCCTTCTGTCGCCGTTTTCCGGGTAGCAGTCGGCTGAGCAGGGCAGCAACAGGAGAGCAAAGGAGGGGGTCCCTTGCTTGCTTGCTCCTGTTTCTCAGGACATCACTGCCTTCTTTCTGCATCAGGAGCAAGTCCTGCTTCAGATGGGAAGGGTGGCCTCTGGGGCCGTCAGCCGTGTCTATCAGCAGCCACGGCAGGCTTACCTCCTATTGCTCCCAGTCTCCCTGAACTCCTGCAAGTCGTGTGTCCACTGGAACTGTCCTCACGCACGGACACACCTCTGCTCCCTCTCGTGTTCCCTTGTCACATCAGCTCCCCTACGAGCGAAGTCTGAAGACATGAATTCCTTAAGGCCACAGTGTAGCTTTTAGTCCCCTCCCCGCCTCGGGCCCTCCGTTCTTCTCTAAGCCACTGCTTTCAGTGTGACTGATTTTAGCATTTTCTTACCTTATCTACCTTCATGTTTCTGAAAAGCTCTCCAGCACTGTCTCTTGATTTTTCAGTGTGGATGCTGTTTGTCACTTGCACAAGAGAAAGGTGGCCCTGGCCCCCGCGTCTCCACCTACACACACGCCTGCCCCCTGCCCACACCCTAATATTGTGTTGACACATGTTGATTAAGTCAGTGGCCAGTTTACACTACAATGATTGAGTAAACACTGCTGAACTAAATGTTGTAATGAGATGACATTTGTTTTTTAAGAACAAGTCTTTTTCTTATTTCCTTGGTTTCCTTCGCCTCTGTCTTCTGTATTCACCAGTAGTTCTATAAAACGTCTCCAAATCCAGTTTTCCAGAAGGTCATGCCTGCCAGGTAACTTAATAGGTCCCTTCTTTCCTGGACTTCCCCCCAACTTCTCTCTGGCCTCCTGCTCCAGTCTAGACAGGACGCTTTCTAGGCCTGCCCTAAAACTGTCATGCCAGGGGCTTCCTGTTTTCTGGATCCCACGCTACCTTTATTAGTGGGGCTACATCTTTGTTTTGGTGGGACACATCCTCAAGTAGCTTCTGAGAAAGGGTGTGTGAAGGGAAGTGGTTTGCTTGTCTGGAAGTGTCTTTATTCTTCCCCCATATACCTGATCAATAGTTTGATTTGAAACTGACTTCTAGGTCAGAAGTCACCCTTCAGAATTTCAAAGGTGTTTTTTCTGTTGTCTCCCCGCCTTCCGACTTGCTCTTGCGAAGGCCCGTACTGGACTGATTCCCAAGCCTTTGTATGGGATCTTTTAAAAAGTCTGGGAGCTTTTCTTTCTCTCTCTCTGTTTTGGTGATAGGAAATTTCAGAATTATGGGCCTTGGTCTGTTTTTATTGTGGGTGGTTCTTGGTGGACCCTTTGTTTCTAAAAACTCACGTCTCTCAGTTCTTGGAAATGTTCCTGTATTATTCATTTGATAATCTCTCTTCTGTGTCCTCATTCTGGAACTCTTTATTGTCAGCTGTTCTCATATTCTTATTTTTTAATATTTTACCTTTTTTCATCTCTTCCCATTTCCTGGATGACATTCTTTTTTTTTTCTTTTTTTTTTAGATAATTATTTTTTATTGAAGGGTAGTTGACACACAGTATTACATTAGTTTCAGGTGTACAACACAGTGATTGAACATTTATAAACATGATAATTCTAGGTACCAGCTATCACCATACCAAGTTGTTACAATATTTTGACTATATTCCTCATGCTATACATTACATCCCGGTTACTTATTTATTTTACAATTGGAAGTGTATATATATATATTTGTGAGGGCATCTCTCATATTTATTGATCAAATGGTTGTTAACAACAATAAAATTCTGTATAGGGGGGTCAATGCTCAATGCACAATCATTAATTCATCTCAAGCCTAATTCTCGTCAGTCTCCAATCTTCTGAAGCATAACGAACAAGTTCTTACATGGGGAACGAATTCTTACATAGTGAATAAGTTACATGGTGAACAGTACAAGGGCATTCATCACAGAAACTTTCAGTT